AACACGCAAGTGAATTAATTAGAAAACTGTTTATTGAAATTCATATTCTGGTGTCATTCAATTTTATTTTTATCGATGGTTTTATTTCATTAACATTTTGTAAGTTATGGCAGGATATTCTTAATATTGACGCAGACGATCTTTACTCGTGTAATGAATACTATTTTTGCTTTATTATAAGTATATAGCTATTTTTAGGGATAGTAAAATAGATGTTCAAAAATCGTTTGTTGACTAGCATTTCGAATAAGCTTTAACGAATGTTCATAATTGAATACTCGTAAATGTATATTTTTAAGGGAATATATTATTTTTTAGTACTTTTTATTATCTATCATCATACATTATATTGTAAACAATTAATCTAATTACATACAGTACACTCTGAATAATACGAGACATGTTAGTAACTACTATTGCAATTATTGACATTCACGTGTACATTGTAATCAATTAATTCAATTACATGAATTCAATTATATTGAAATTCACGTATATATTCAACCAATTAATTCAATTTTATTTAGAGCACTCGAAGAAGATTTCAGTAAATGTCGCTATACATTGTTAACACATACACTGCAATTATTAAAATTCACGTATACATAGTAATCAAATAATTCAATTACAATTCAATTTTTCCGCTCCCCAAAGAAGGATAATCTAAATCCAAGAATTGAAATATCCATAAATGCTTGCAAGATCCAGCAAACTTATTTTCCTTGTAACTTATACGTACAACATTTCTTTTCGTTTCATCAACTACCTCGATGATCAACGAAATGTCTAAATCAACCTTTAAAATAAAGATTCGCGTCGTTTAGGTAATTTAGGATATTACGAATTTCTTATCAGAAATGTCGCGCGAATTGCTTGCATACTTACTAGGCCTCGTCGTCCAACTCGATGAGCACACGACCGGACAAAAAGTGGCCGGGAAAGTACAACAGATTCGTGTTGTCAAAAAGTATGAGAAACTTGCTCAACTTTCGCGTCATGGTTACGTGGTGTTTCGCGTCGTATACGCGGAATCAGCGCGGAGGACAACGTCGAGGATCGCTACGGAACGGCGTCGCGGTAACTGATTATGCACCGAGTCCGCGCTCACGAAATTTTTTCCAATCGAGGACTGCACGCATGTCGGTGAGACTCACTGGCAGCACACACGCCTAATCGCGCCAAACAGCACGCCCATAACCTTGCATACGCAACGTTTCTCTCTTTTTGTAACGTCGCCGGGAATTCTCACTCGCGGCCAGGTAGGCTTTTCACGATCCACCGATCGCGTCACCGAGCACTCTCATTTTTCACCGCGCTTCCCTCGACAATATTCGTGCACCAGCTTCCGATAACAGACGCGAACTTGGACGAAGCGTACAGAGAGAGAGAGAGAGACACACGCTGATAACGACTATTTTACGTTATTATCCGTCAAAAGTTTCAGCCGCAGGCTAAAGGAGCCCGTCTCTTCCTGCCCATTCTTGGAGCTGTGCTCACTTTCGCTCCCCTACCTTCGTACATGTTTCCACCTCCAGCACACGGTGTGGTTACCTGCTTTCCTCCACCGACCAATGGAGAACCGCTTCCAGTTTCTCGTGCATACGGGCTGGATTAGATCCTCCTGGCTTGGTCACACCGCTGCCGACTTTTTTACGCGATGCATACAACAGCTCCGAGACTTGTATTTTTCTGTATTCGACATATTGCCTACCCTTAACGTAGTTGCTTTCGTATTTTCTCCCATCTCTATATGATCTCTAATATGAGATCTGAAACGGATTCGGTTTTGAGTTGATTAAAAAAAAAAAACATTACAATTATTTTGACCCCAATGCAACATACCGGATCGTAAGATCTCAAGTTGAACTTAAGAGAATGTGCAATAACATTTTTATTGCGGAGTATAATATTTTATATACTTATCTTTTGTATTTCTGTATTCTTCTATTCGTTTAACAATAAATTTTTCTTTCGTGGTGGATTCTTTGTTTAGAGATTCTTTGTAAAGAGATTAGTAAGTTTTTCACTATTCTCAATAAGGAAGCTCAAATATTAATTTCTGACAACAGTTGCATTAATTATTAACAATACTTATTACTTAAACAATAATGGGGAATATGATTTTGCTGTGATATTAATGTTTCGCGAATTATTTTCTCGATACATACAACGAGCCTTCGAATTGAACGTCACAGGGTTGTTGTTCGACCTTCCCCTTCTCTACTTCGAGAGGCACAAGCGAGCCGCGACCCTTGACCGACGCAGGTATACGAAGGTGCGGTCTCATTCTTCGACGATCCTTCGGTCGGTACGGATCTCGCGAACGTGCTCGCGACCTGTAAGGACCGTGTCTCGCGTCCTTCCTATTTTTGCGTAGTGTAGTTTCCCTTAGTTATCGTAGCTTGGTATTGCTTGTGGGTAGCTTAGTTTGGTTTGGTTAGTTTTAAGGCATGTATCTAAGTTAGTTTTAAGGCATGGATGTACGAGTGTCTTTCCTCTATCAAATAATTATTAATCATTTGTTGAATTCTTTTGTTTGTTCGTAGGTCCATATTAGACTCGCAACTTCGTTCTCCACTTCGGTCACTATTGCTTGATGCTATAAGTGAAGTGACCAACTGTGTAACTGGACAGAAAGGTCGGTTGCCATCCTCCTGGTGGATCTGTATTCAAGAGGAAGACAAAAGGAATCGGCTCCTCCGGATCGGTTCTCTACTCCCTGTATCCCGTCTGGTGTAGTCCAGGCTCCCGGCGCAGTGCAGTAAGTCCAAAGCGCAGTGAGACGGGTGCAAGTCGGGTCCGTCGTGGCTCCCAACGGGGTGCAGGATGTGGAGGACTGGTTCGGAGGCGTCGGTCGTCTTCCTCTCGAGTCCAGATCCATCAAGAGGAAACGGGACTGACTCAGTAAGTCCAGTTGCATGGTCGCGTCGTGTCGCAATTTCCATTTAGCTTCCATTTAGTTTAAATAATTATTTGACAAAGTCAGACATAGACTTCGGAAATCGAAAGGAATTTTGTTTTCCTTTGATTTCACGGTTTCGTACTTAGTATTAAGCTCGTCGGCTCTATGTAGAGTATGCATCTACGTATGTATACTCTATATAGAGGGAGATCGAAGAAACTTTGATTCCTTCTATCTCCGGGTCTCTAGTCGCAGCAACCTCCACGTGGTGAGACCTGGTAATCGGTATTATTAGTGACGAACAATCCTTCGTTGCGAATAATAGCGAGCTAATAGCTGCGAACTTGTAAAGTGCAAAGTGCAAAGTGTAAAGTGTAAAGTGTAAAGTGTAAAGTGTAAAGTGTAAAGTGAAATTAAATTTAGATTAGCAGAGACAACATCAAGAAACCGTGGCTGGTACTAGTGTTCCGTAGAAAAACAAAGTATTCGGTATATAACAGTTTGTCAGAAAAATTCATTTTTATAAATTATGTGAATATTAACATTAATATATTTTTATTGCAAAATGTTAGTCAATTTTTACGATAATTTGTGCATTTAAACTACAGATCAAACTACGAAATACGTATTTTCTGAAATTTTGTTTTCTTACATTATATAAAATTATCCTATTTGTAATGTACTTACATTCCGAGCGAAATGGAATCCTTAAACCTGTATGATCTAAGAACTGGAAAACTTGTATGTCGGTCCTATTAATACAAAAGTGTGTATTATAAGTGTTGGTATTCAATTCTTTAGTAATGTATTCCGAGAATGTTACCACATTTTTAAATTTTGGTTCCAATTCTATAAGTCGAAAGTATTGAAGCAACCGTGTTGAACTTCGTTTTTTCGGAATATAAATGCGATTGTCTCAAAAAATAAAATGATTCGAAGCTGTATTTTTTATTTTTGTAATATAAAAGATTTATAATATCCATAAACACACTTAAAACATTTCGAAAATTACCGTTTGCCGCGCTAGATCGCTGAAATATCACACTGTGAAGCGGGTCGAATAAACCGAACAATCCGAAAGAAAGAAACAGTTCGAACGTACTCGAAGGTTCCCGAGTTGTTTATCCCTTTGCGGACAAGAGCATTTTTAAGCTTAACACAGCGAATGCGAGGAATATTATTTATTTAACACTTTCCACCCGAAGCATTTTTTTTTATTCGACTGTATTAAAAAATAATGCTACTCAACCAGTCATTTAAACTAATGAATGGGATGTATAATTACTCCAGAGAAATGAGCAGCACTATAATTGTTAAAAATTATCCTTTATTATTTATTAAATTCATTGCTCATCATATAAGTGCATGAGATCGGCATCGATCGAACTAATTTTTCACATTATTTACATTTTTTACTTTTTTTTGCATATTCATATAATTGTACATCGTAATTATCATAATTCTACTTCTAATTGTTGATTTGTATACTAATAATTGACTGATTTCAAGTTTTTTAAATAAATAAAAACATCGAAAAATGTGGCGCCATCTCCCGGGAAACTCCCCAAGTTTGTCGTGAAATAGTTCCCACATCTTGCTCCTAGATGACGCAATAGACATGAAATTATTCATAAACATAAATTCTCTATTTTTCTCTGCATGTAAATGTAATGTACGTTACAATTATTATAATTCAACACCTAATTATTGATTTGTATACTAATAATTGACTTATTTCAAGTTTTTTAAATAAATAAAAACACCGAAAAATGTGACGCTTTCTCTCGGCAAACCGCCCAAGTTTGTCGTGAAATAGTTCCCACATCAACCAGCTAGATGTCGCAATAGACATGAAATTATTCAAAACATAAATTCTCTATTATTCTCTGCATATAAATGTAACGTACATTACAATTATCATAATTCAACACGTAATTGTTGATATCCGTCATGCATTTACACTCGATAAAAAAAGGGTTTGGGTTGAGGCTGCGGCTGGGGCTGGGGCGGGTCTAAGATAAGTGTAGAGTTATTTCTTCAAGAAATAGGCAGTGATTTATTACTGCGCTACTTACATGATTAAATGAATTAAAGTATATTTTAACATACAGATTATTTTATATTTACACTAAATACATATATTTACAAATGTGTGCATTACAAAAATATATTCACCTGCGCACGTAAGCGTGTGCATCAATTAAATAACACATAGATATTGAGTGAGGTAGAGACAGTTACAACGATACATTTATCTATCGAACAACAAGAGTATTCAAAATATACATTTGCACACTTAGTACTAGCTCGTACCATTTTTAACCGCGTACGAAATTTATCTCCGTTTATATCGTAAAACATTTAAAGTTAGAACACATTTTAATACTTCAACACATCCAGGTTTCTTATGATTATTTAACAATAACAATGTATTTATATTTAATACAAAATGTTACTCCCCATTATTGAAACTATGGCTGTACTTTCATGGTATTATTCATAATAGCTTTTTCAATGAGAAACAGACTGCAAAATTTGTATTTTTTGAATACACAAATAAAACTCTTATGTTAATATAAAAAACTGAACTTTTTACCCTAACCAATTTAAATCAACTGTTTCAATTACATCCTGATCTTACACTTCTCTTCTTGTTACTTCTATAAAATAGTATAACTGTTCAAGTTATAAAGATAAAAATAATTTTATGCGAATATGAAATTCGTTTTTGCAACTAATACAATTGATTCATATTCATTATATTTTCGTTATTGATTGCCCTCTTTTCTTTTTGCTATTTCTACTTCTAGCATTATAATCCCAACCAGTATTATCCATGCTTAGCTTAGGAGATTGTCCAGGTATTATATGTCTTCCTTGAATTTCTAAAGCTTCGTTATTATTATGAGTAGTTTGTGCAGAGTAAGGTAGAGTGGAACGAGAAATAGGACTTAAGGGTTTTCTGTTGCGTTGTAAAACTACCGACGATGATGTCAGAGATCTAAAATTATAAGGACAGTATAAGAGATACTTATAGATACAGAATATCACAATATATTCTACATACCTATTCTTGGTATTGGGAAGTCGTGAAGTATCTAATGGAGCAAGCCTTATATTTGTCGGCCACCTGGCAGGAGAAACAGATGCATGCCAAGCAGATTGATAATTTGGAAGTTTTGTCGCAGTTGAATTCTTCCCTGAATTTTTGAAGTAAGAAATATTTCTACTTGAGCCTAGTATAAAATAGTAATAATGTTAAAATATATTATGAACCGTTTGAATACCGCGTGTATTACTTAAAAAAATATACAACGCACCAGGAAATGTAGTAACATCTAATGTTTGTCCCATAAACTTAATCGGAGTAGTCTTGATAGTAGAAAAACTTTCTCTAGTTGACAAAATATAAGGCACAGGACTAACTACAATTTTTTCATTAAAAACAGTTCCAAGTTTATTTCTACTAGTGTGAGGCCTAAAAAGTTTATCTTCCACGGCACCCATTGTATCTCGTCCACTTTTTATTCTATCATTATGTTTAAGATTATCATATTTTCTGTAAACACCAAATATATTTCTTATAGAAAATTATACAGTGAATCATCAGTAAATAATCATATGTCCTTACACATAATTTGTATATAAAATACTTTTCTAAGACCATAAGAAAATCATTACAGGCTATTATTAACAGATACAGTAAGTATATTCATGAGATAAAGATATAAATTTTTGTTTTATTTGTTGGTAAGCTTTGTGAAATATCAAATGATGTAACCATATACTTCTCTTATCTTTAAAATATTAAATGAAATAAAGAAAATTATATGATTATGTCAGAGATGTATGGTATACATACTTTGGAGTTTCTCCAATCTTTGTTTGAGCAGCTTCTATTCCTCTACTCCTACTATTTGGAAATTTATTTTCAAGAGGAATGGTTTCTTCAAACCAGCTCAACTTTGTACTTTTTGCAGAACTTTTGTTACTGTGAACAGGTGCCATACGTATTTGCAAAACATCATTTAATTCATTGCCCAATGAATCAATTCCATTTTCCTTATTTGGAAATAACTCAGACATTACATATTCGAAAAGCATATCAAAGACTTTATCTTGCTGTGTGCTTTGCAATCTATATTTTGACGAAATTCTTCTTTCCTGTAAATTATAGATCATCCATTTCATGATATAGATTTTAATTTTTTTGTTAGCAAAGTATTCCTATAAACTTATGGAATGTGTTAATGAAATTTTTAAATAAAATAAACAAAAAATATAGAAAATATATCTTACCTTTGTGGAAAAATTATGTTCTGAAAATATATCTTCATCAAGTGAATCAAAAGTATCTTTTATTTGATTATAATTCTTTTCTGGATCTTGCTGTTTGTCTGTAGGTAATAGAAATGAATTCTTTCCAACTATTCTTAAATGTGGTATTTGTGTTCTCCACTGAATACATTCTTCCAAAAGAGCTGTTTGTGTCACTTGATCACCATCTTCGTAAAGTGTATTTTCAATAGCATCCCATTGCTGTATAACTTTCCGTGTTGCAATGTCTTCCAATTCTGATGAGTAAGATACACATGTTGCTGTAGTACTTTCATTCCATATTGACACACGATCGTCAATATCTTTCCAAGCTTTCTTCTTTTGTAAGCTTGGCAGTTGAAAGTGGTCACTTGATTCATTCTCATTATCTTTATAATCCCTTATTTTTGGTAAGTTTTCTGTCGCTTTTACTTTTTGTGTAACTGAATTTAATCTACATTCAAATATAAACTTTATTTCAATTTATTTAGTGATAAAAGACATTTCCTATTTAGCACAAATTTTACAAATTTTTATATAAAAAATCAACAGTTAAAAAACAAAAATATGTATTAAACTAAGTTAATATAATGAAATATAAGCAATACGATTTAACATTTAAAGAAAACATTACGACAAGACGTACATGCTCCGTTTATGTGTTTTTTTATGCATTTCATGCTTCTTAAAATGTATCTTCGATCAATTAAAGTCACTTTTATCATTTAATCAAAAACCTTTTCGTAGTTCTTGTTACGCGAAATCTTTCAGAGTGCACGATAATTTTATTGATTATTTTATTATAAGAGCATCTTTGGCCTAAAACTTTAATTTGAATCATTTTATCGCCATCTCATCATAAATGATTCGTAAATCCTTTGGCTAATTAAAAAAACATAACTTTACCATCAGATACGGATTAATCAACTGACATACTTGACATATAGCAGAAACCAGAATTGATATTTTATACAAATAGGCATGCTTCACATACCGAACCGAAATCGCGTACCTACTATTGGTCAATATCTAAACTATCCAATTTCTCTATAAACATCCGTTCATTGACATATTGCTCAAAAGGATTTGTTTATTCTGAAAATTTAGATAACATGTAACTCGTAAAAAACAAAAAATGAATAGTAATTATTCGATACAGACCAAATATTCGAACACATTACGAATGATTCAAAAGTAAATAGGTGGAGAAATGTCTTTGTAGTAACTATTTAATGAACGCGGGAGTTTCACAGAAATAGTTGCTGAAATAAAATTGCACAGTATGAAGGGAGAAAGAATCCAATGTTGTATTGACAGTGATGATTTAATACTATTTAATATTAAGTAATGTAAAATATTCCAGTATATTTCATTACAAAATTAAGTTTTTACATACTTTGATGTTTGTTGGTTATAATTGTAAAACAATTATGTACAAAAATCTTTCCCTTTAATGTTATTTGTTCCCTTTTGAAATCTTTAAAAATAAATATAAAATATACACATTAAAGTACATTACAAAAATAAAAATAATTCTGTTCACTTTTTTTGAATGCACAAATTCAACAGTTGACTTGAATGCAAAGCAGGTTGAGCATTTTTTTGTAGATGTTTACTGAATATGTACTTCAAATTCCAATTATACATTTGGTTAAAATTAATTAATACATATTCCTACCATGAAAGTTTAACAAATAATTTATTATACACAAAATATTATAAATAGTTTATACATTCCATTGGATATTAAATTAACAACAATCCAATCATTTGATAAATACCTAACACTTGAAGATATATAAATTATCATCTGGGATTTTGTGCAAATTTTGTACTTAATGATATCTGAGCTTTTTCTGGTTTCGCACTTGATGATCGAACAGGGGATTGAAAATCTAATAATACACGCTTCGAGCTATTTTTGAGCACAATTGGAGATAGACTTGATGGTTCACCATAATATTGTAGTTTTTCAAGTCGCCTTTGTATGGAAGCAGATTTTACTGTTTCATTATTTGTTAAACTCCTTTGTGAAAGTTCTGGCAATGAGTAATTCCTATTTTCTTTCGATAAAAATTTGTCAATATTCCTATCTGGCGTATAGTGATCCGACATTCTAGTTATAGATTTTTTTGGAGCTTCTTCTAAAATTTCTGCCGCACATTTAGTTATATATGTATTATTGTCCTTAAAAAATATTTATAATTATTAAATGCTAATTATGTACGTACAGTATATATTAAAAAAAAAAAGTATATTCATTTCTATAAATGTTTTCAAAATATGTATATAAGTACCGTAATCAAGCGCTTTAAATCTTCGAATGGTTGTTGAAGATGATTTTGCCGAGGATTTCGCGTGAAAGTACTTCGTTCTGTGCAATAGGCTATTGGTATATTCCACGATGTAGCTCGTCGCCATTCTAAATTACTACAAGCAACGAAAGATCCCACAGTCAAAATTTCGGCATATCCGTGAGTGGCTATCCCATTCCAAAACAGTACTGACAAATACGAAGACTCAGAATTCGTAGATGGATACGCGAAATATACACTTTCAAAATTTTTCATACCCTATAAAAGTAGAAAAAAAAAACATCAATTATTTTTAGTTTTATTATAATTAATACATGGTTTGAATGTCAACGTACATTTGGTTCATTGCCAATAGAAACAACAATTCCCACAGTATCAAATTCTCCATAAGTTGGAGCAAAGGTGGATTTATTTATATCACATAATGCTGTATAAATTCTCCGAGGATAAATTATATTAGAATCATTTATTCGATTAAATAATGTATTTCGACTTGTACTTAATTGCGACTCATTACCCCTATTAAAATATAGAAAGGTATATGTGATAATTAAACAATAATTAAAAATAAAAAGATATATAAAATCAATCATATACTATATACAATACCTTTTCGCCAAAGACGTAATATTACAAATCGATACGTAATTTCCTTCTTTTAGAATATCTGGAAGTTCTTCATTGGGAGACCAAATTGAAAGAATAGCGCTTGACTCTTCTTCAATAACTCGAATTTTTAAAACTGGTGTCACTTGTCGTGGCGGTGGTAAACTTTCTTGCAATCTAGATTCCAATTTTTGCCTTAAGTTTTCTTCTTTCATGCGACATTTATTTATTAGTTGCTCTTGTTCTTGTTTTGTAATAAATTCCTGTAACAATATGACATGTAAAAAAAAAAAAAAAAAAAGAAAAACTACATAGATCCTACAACTTCAATCAATACCTTTTTTGACAATCTTTCACAATCTTCATCCAAATCAATTGCTGCTAAATCAATACTATCTGGATTTGAAACATTTTTTCTTCTTTTTGTAGAAAAATTTGTCTCTGCTTTGGTGTAAAATGCCTCTATTATCGATCGATATTCCTTTTCATAAGCAATATTAGCTTTCTCTTCACATCTCGCATTACGGAAAACTAAAATTGCAGAATATAGACTAGTTGAAAATGCAATTAAAGACCACAAAATTCGTAAAAGTGTATGTCTCACTGGATTCTCCACTTGCAGTTTTCTCGTAATACAGAATTGGATATACTCTCGCAATTAAAACTTTAATTTTCCCAATTAAACCACCATTAGGGCAAATACTTTTTAATTTAATACACATTGGCCCCGAAGGTGCTATATATCCCAATTTTGTATCCCACCTTGCTCTTCTCGTAGAATTTGTATGTATTTTTAAACATACATTTTCTGGGACCTATGAATTAATAATTTCTAGTATACTAATCAATAGCATGAAAAGTTATTTTAAAAAAGGATATTTACTTCTAAGGGTGAACATCCTTGATCACTATTTAATAATTCAGATCCGTATATCATTAATTTTGTCCCTTCTTTTACTTTACCAGATATTACATTTTGAATCATTGCTTGATCAATAAATGCTTGAACACTATACCATCCATCCGTCAACACTACTTTTTTTGATGATGCTTTCAACTGAGCTGAACTTTGATTTAAAATGGCAGTATCCTCACACTATACAAGAAAACACAAATCTTATACAATTTACATTAAAATAGTTTCCTATCTACACTACACAAAAACTTACATCAGAAATACATGATACACACAAAACTATCCTCTTAGATGCCACATCATCTTTTTCTAAAATTTTTCTTAAAGCAGATCTTTCAGATCTGTCAATTTCCCGATCATAACGATATTTTAATTCCATCATTACTCTAGCAGGAGTCAATGCTCTATAAAGCAATTACATTTGTATGCATTGTTATTAATTTCAAATTATTTACATAATTACAATTTGTACCTTGGCAAAGTAACTGAAGTAAATTTTATTCTGTCCATTGATGCTAACTTCCATACAATCCACTTATAATGATTTTCCACCCATTCAGTAGGAATCAATTTAGGATCCACTCCTGGACTTGCTAAAAAAGATCTCCTAATATTTGTTATCCCTACATAACCATTTTCATCTAGAATCAAATGTGCTCCATCTTCCAGTTGTATACCCTCAATATTATTTTGTACTATATCTTGCCTAAACATATTAGGATATATTTAATTTATGAAGAATTTAGTACACATATATATGTACAAAATATAATTGAAAATATATTATTAACTGAAACATTTCTTACTCATAAAAATCTTTACACTGAAATTTGTATTCTTCTGCATTATCAGCTGTTACATCCAAAATTTCTGGTGGAAATTTTCGTTTAACAAGCTAGTAACAAAAGGATTTACGAATACAATTCAGTAGATTAATTTGCAATGGATATCATTTTTGTTTGATTCTAATTACCTCTTCATATGTACATAGAATAGGTGTACCCCCTTTACTAATTTCTCTCCAAGATACACGATTATTACGATTAGTTTTCCTATGGAAATATAGTACACTAATCGTTGGCTTTGGTTTATTAATCTCTTTCAACTTGATCTGTCTATCCTATAAGTACAATAATGATCAAAATGAAAGAATGTATAGTGTAAACAACAAATAAATTTATAGGCCTTTTAGTAATTGGAAATGAATCAAATTTTGGTTTATAGAGGCTTTTGAAATAAAGAGATCCAACTCTAAATAGTATTACAAACTTTGTATTGAAAGTTTATCTATACAAAGTATATAACTTACTTGTTCTATGCCAGCTTCTAAACGTTTTTCTAAGATATTTGCAGATTCATCCATGAAGAACATCATTAATTGTGTGTCATCAAAATCACTAACAACTTTCTCTTCTTTATTTGTGAATTCTTGCTTTTCTGTTAATAAATCAGTTTCTTCTTTCATACAATGATTTGAGTTTACACAATTATCGTTTAATTGTTCTGATTCCTCTATGTGGACAGATTTATGCTTTTTATTCTTCAAGCCATTGAGACTTTTCTTTTTTTTACCTTTCATTATACTTTTTCGCTTTTTAGGAATAAATTGTCCACCTATTACAGGACTAGATGGTACATTTAAAACATCTCTATTCTCCATATTTTCTATGGGTGAAATCCATTGCTCACAAGAATCTGAACTTTTTTCATCTGCTAAAAGTGCAGCTGCACTCTCTATAATTTCATGTGAAATCAAGCAATTATCATCTATTTCATTATTCTCTGAATTCATTTCACTCTGTTGGATATTATCAACTAATTCATCAACATCATTGGTTGCAATTGTAATTTCAATTGATTTTGAAGGAACTGCATGATTTTGATTGTTTTCAGTATTTGTTACATTCTTGTGAACATTTCTTTGAATTTCAAACTGTCCACTAAATCGTAACTTTTTAAACTGATTAGATGGTACTTGTTTATTTACCGGAACATCCTCATCTAAATCTTTTATTTTGCGTTTCTGCAAAGATTTAGTTAAAAAGGTACTACTTTCAAAATCTTCCAAGGTTTCTTCATTAAACAATGTTTTTGCTTTTAATAAAGCTTCCTCTGAGATATTCATATCCTGACCACTTGCAGTTTGAAACCCAATGTTTTTAACTTGTATTTCTTGTTTGTTCAACTGTTCTTCAACTACATGCATGTCTTCAAATTCATGTGCATCCTCTAAATCATTTGCAAATAACTGCTTTGCTTTTGTCAAAGCTTTTTTGGAAACATTAATTGAACTACCTCTTGCAGTACTAAAACCTATCAAAGGCATTGCATTTATTGAACTCTCTATGGTTTCTTTATGAAATAACATTTCGTCTGTGATTTGAAATTTATTATTGATTTCACACATATTAAATTCATTAGTCTGTGCCTCTATGTTATCTTCAAATTGTTGAACTGCTTTTGACAAGACTTCATCAGAAATATCAATTGATCTGCCACTAGCGGTTTTGAATCCAGAAGGGACAATGGCATTTTTCTTATTATCTATGATTTTTGCAGAATGTAATACTCCTTTTAATAATGCTCCATTCCTTGTCTCAAGAGATTCACCATTTAACATTTGAAATCCAGTATTTTCTACTTTCGCATCAGGTATCTTGGTTTGAATTTGAAGTTTCCATGCTTCTTCATCTTTGACAGTTTCATTTAATTCGTCTTTAAAAAGTTGCTGTGCTTTCGATAATGCTGTATCAGACACTTTGATTGAACTACCACCAGCCGTAGTAAAACCAAATGTAGAGGTAACATTTTTATTATTGAAATTCATATTTACTGAATTTACTTTGTATTCCATATGAATATATTCATTGAAAAAACTTGCCTCTACATAATATTGGCAATAAAAGTCATATATACTTTTATAATTCTATTCGTGATTTTTTAACATATTACGTGTATAAGAAACTCTATTGCTTATTATGTGTTTACGACTTCCACGCAATTTATATTAAATTTATATGTCGTACAGTGCCATCTGTTAAGATTTACAAATTAATACATCGTAATAGATCCAAATAGATCTGGCTCAAACCACGGAGAGCAATATATAAAATATGAAAGCTACTTTGACTAATTTGAGTTTGTTATTCCAGAATTTTTAAATCTACCTAAAAATCTTTTTCCAATTTATGAAGAATTTAGAAATCGAATGAAAATCATTTCCCCAGAAAGTAATGCTATTCTTTCGTGATAAAACAATATTGATAACGTACGTCACCGTGATCCTTGTCGATTGTCTGCTGTACCGGCAAAATACGCACTTAACCTCTGCACGTTTTTCTAATGATACATGTGTTTTTGACGGAAAAATCGTTTTATATTGTCTAGTTTATCAAAATGAAATTTAAAACATATACAGGAATTACGTGGTCAATTTTAGAGCTCACGGGTCTACTCGAGGATGAAGACTCGCATGTTTATTTTGAAAAATTTAAAAAACACTTTGGTTTGCACCCATTTCATTTAACGAATCTGAATGCCGCGTTAAATGAAATACTTAGCTCGAATTTAAACTCTTACGATGATGAGTACGTAACAAGTGTATTTTTATTTTAATTTAAATTATAAATTTTCACTTTGTTAACGTATTTTTGGCATACAATGATTAAAAAAAACAAACGCTTTTGAGGTTCTGTTTACATAGCTTTTAGAAAATTATAAATGGTTATCGCATTTCTAAAATTTTACTTGTTCCAGGTTAAAAGGATTCCTGTTAGCTTATAAAAATCCAAAGTTGCTAACACCATTAGGTGACATATTTTATGATACTTGTTTTATTCATGTTGACATTGAAGCAGATTTTTATATATTTAGACCTGAAGTGGGTTGTTCATTAAAAGGTAAACTGTTTTACTATTAAGCAGCTTTAAAGTTTTTAATTTATTATTTTACGAGTAATAATCTATAGGAATTGTCAATAAGAAAGGATTAGACCATATTGGTGTTCTTGTACATAAAGCATTCAACGTATCAATTCCAAAACTAGATGACGAAGAGAATTGGCCTGGTGATAACCTTGAAATTGGTCAAGAAGTACGATTTAAAGTAACTCTTCTTGATTTTAGTAGTAAATTACCATTTATTCGTGGTACTTTAAATCCAGAGTAAGTAATATTTTCATTTGTTTCTCTTATTAGTCTACTATTATTTATGACTTTATTATTTCAGTGATTATTTACGAGGATGTAAACTAACAGAAAAAACACCTAATAGAAGGTTGTCGTCTAATAACAATAGTCACAACAATAAAGATGACGATGAAAGTATAAGTAATAAGGAATTAAAAACTATTGCTAAGAATAATAAACGACATACATTTTTTGCTACTGACTCTGAACATAGTTCTGATGATGATGTACCAGAAATAAAGAAAGAAGTTTCTGATAAAAAAAAATCTAAGAAAAAAATTGAAAAAGAGAAAATAATCGAACACATTGATGTAAAGAAGGAAGATCAAAAACGTGCTAAAAAATCTGAAGAAACTAAAAAATCCAAACGTAAATCGATTAAGACAGAAACGGTGCAGGAACAGCACCTGAACAACAGTTCCATAAATGGTAAATTTGAGGACATTGAAGAATTAGAAGAATCTACTACTATAAAGAAAAAGGCAAAGAAAAAATCCAATACTTTTAGTTCGCAAAGTAGCATGGATGAAGGGAACAATGAAAAGTCTGTAAAATCTCCACTAAAAATATCGAACAATGTATCTAATATGGAATCCAAAAATAGAGTTAGCAAAATAAAATTAGAACAAGATTCCGAAAGTAGTACTTCAGAACAGATTGTGAGAGAAAATATGTCTGAAAGCAAAATTAGTTTAAAGAAAAATTCGACAAAGAGAAAACACGCAGATGAAACTGATAATTCTGCAGACGATTTTACTGTAAATAAATATATAAAGAGTTCGAGTAAAAAGATCTCAAAGACCAGAACATCTGATATAGACAACACAGAACCATTAATTGATATTAAAACGGAAAAACTGAACGAAGTGAACGTTAAAACAGAAGATGCTCCAACCCAGAAACAACATAGAAAACGTAAACACTCTGTAAAAGCAGAGGTTTCTGAAAGTGATACGAGCATTAGAAAACCTGAAAAGACTCCGGTAAAAAGACGTTCAAAAACATCAAGTATATCAGAGTCTGAATTTGTGTTTCCACATATGCAGATAAAGACAGAAAAAGTGAATAGTGAAGATGAAAATCACGTAAAAACAAAGAAAGTATTGAAAAAAGATTCTGACTTGAATATATCTACATGCAGTTCTAATTATGATGCGGAAGAAGATGCCAACGATAATACAATTAAAAAGAAACGGAAAAAACGTTCAAAGAAGAATCTTCTGGACATAAGTGAAATTAAAGTAGAACCTGAATTTGATTATAGCGTGGTTAAAGAAGAAGTATCTGATACTGCTACCAATAATGATGCAACTGAAAACATTCGAGAAAATTATGATACAGACTCTTCAAATAGAAATTCGCCTAAGAAGAAACATAAATTTAATTTGAATACTGTTATAAGTGATGATGAAGAAGGTCTCAGAAATAATAGGAAGTTAAAAGTAAAAGCAGAGAAATTAATAACGAACGTTACATCGGACGACGATGAGAGAGATAGTGATGATGAAAAACAGAAAAAACATAGCAAAAAATCGCCAAGTAAACAATTAAATAAACCTAGAAAATCCAATTCTGAATTTGACTTTAGTAAGGTTAAAGTTAAATGTGAAAGATCAAGTGATAGCTAGGGCATGTAGAGCATTTTAATGTACTTTTTGATAACATAGACTGTGGTCAACATACTTTGTAAAAAGAAAGAATTCATTACACGTGTATGCATGAGAAATATAAAGTACTATAAGTACATTTACATGTATGTAGGATATATTAACAGACATATACACGCACAAGTGTATGTGTATACGGGATGTTTCTTAATATGTGGGCCCTTTTTGGAGAGTAAGATCTTGACATCAGTACGAGCGATGTTTCAGCCCAATCAGCTGATCGCACGGTCGCACATATACGCAATTACACGGGACAAATACACACCTACGCACACTCACTGGTGGAAAATGACTCGAGACATTCTACGCCAGGTAGTACGAGGTCATTGGACTAACCCGTGAAAACTGGATGGTAATGACCTCGCGTTACCTGGCCCAAACTGTTTTGGAGACTCCTAGGTCATTTTGCACCAGCGAGTGTGCATCGGTGTGTATTTTTCCTGTGTGAGTGCGTACATGTTACGGTCGCGCGAGCAGCTAACAGGGATCCAAACTGCCCGCGCCGTAAGTCGCACCTGTAAATTTCAACTGCTTATATCTCGACAACGAAGTCTCAGTTCGCAAATTGGTATGGACTTTTCAATTCGTACTGATGTCGGGACCTTACCTTCTGAAAAGCACCCACATATTAAGAAACACCCTGTATCTATACATTATATATACATATGAAAATATTGATACTAACTATGTTAACAATCAACTTGTATATATTATATATAAATTGTCAATGAACTTTAACGATTCATTATATTTTTGTTCCTTTTGTGTAATAAGCGACTTTATTTTATTATTATTTTCGTATTTCTTATGTAGCGGTGAGTTTCACCTGTACATAATGTATCACATTGCGATAAGACATTACCATCAAATAAATATATCATGACTTTAGCGAATATTATATATTTGACAAATTAAAGTACAAATATGACTTCTATAGACTACAGTAATAAAAATTTTTATAAGATATTTTGATGTTTTCTAATTTTATATCTACATCTTTTCTCCTATTGTAATGTACAACAATGTAAACTTAAAAAAATTACATTTAGTAAAGATGGCTTCAGAATGTTTACGGAATCAGTGATGGTAAATGTTAAGAAATACAAAAACATGTTTATTGGTACATACAAATTTAGTATTTTACATTACAATTATTGCATGTTCTGCGAATTTGAATTTTGACGGAATTTTATACTACTGTTAATTGCTGTGGTATAAATATAATAAAAATAATAAAATGTACGAAGATAATAAAATTTGAAAACGTATATAGGCAAGTTCATTTTGACATTTGCAAATACGAATTACCTTACGAAATTCTTAGCTTGAAAATGTTAATGTCATTTATATACATTCAGGTAAGTATAATACGATTGGCTCATTTTATTTCACAAAATATATTAAAGATTAACATACTTAGTTTATATACCAGAAAATGATGTAGTAATTTTTTAATTTAATCAGCAGAGTTCTTCCATTTTAGTACGAATATTTTAATGGATGAAATTAAAATTTGTTAAAATAATCAGCATAGTAATTATTAAACAATGCAATACTTAACTAGTAAGATTTACTGTAATTAAAATATATACTCTAAAAAATATGTTTTGTTTCCCGATATTCATAATGCTTTATAAGGAAATTTAAATGATTGAAGAAAAAGATGATGTGAACTTTAAGAATGGCTTATATAAATTTTTCTATATTTAATAGTGTGATCAAATTTTCTCCTCGCGCAATAATATTTTGTTTGAAATAACATATATACTATATTGTGTGGTAATATATATTTATTTACATATACACGCTTTATGTACATTATTTTTATGTAACATATGTAAATTAATTTTTGTTTAAATCGATTCACTTAGCTGCATAATGGAGTAATTTGGAAAAATATTCTTTTACAAATCTATATGTAGAAAACAATAGGACGTATCGTTGCGTGAAAAAATTACGTGATAAAGTTTATAAAAATACAAATCCGAGGCAAGATTTACCTGAGACAAGAAGATTATACATATAATGAAAAGGGTACGCAGAAACGAGATATACACGAATAAATTACTTACTTGAATAAAAATCTATTTTCGTGATGAAAAATGCTAAACAAAAAATAGAAGAATTCTACATCTATTTAAGAATAAAATATTCTGCATCGATACATGGTTCCTTGAGTGTATTTCGAGAGTCTCTAAAAATTTATATTCCAAGAATGTACGATGATCAGAGATCATTGTAATCCAAAAAGTAAAGATTTCAATCACCAGAGCAAATGTTTAATTCGATAGCCAATTTTGCCTCAATCTTAGAATTGTATTGGAAGTGAAACGGCGCGAAGGTTTCGTTCATGTTATCACAAGACACCCCTAATTAGTGTACTAGCATCTTGCAATCTTATAGCATTTGTAACCTAACAACTCATCACAGCAGACGCTGATGGCATTGATCGTGTTTTAGTCACTACACTCGATTCTAATATCGCGTCGTCCGATTCTTGTCGTGGTCCTAAGTTTTTAAAGCAGTGATTCTTAACCACTTTAATAGTTTTTTTTTATCACAATTCAATAGAGGTAAAATTTAGATCTGAAACCAGCATCAGTTTAACATTTTATTGGATCAATTTTATTTTTTTGAAAAGAAATTATTTCTTCTTCATGTATATATTCATAAATTAATTCATATTCAAACTAAAGAATACAGATCAATTAGATGTCATATGAAAATATTATTACCAAATTCTTTAAAATTGTATCAGTGACCTTTATAGCGATATTGACCCTAACGTTTCTTTTTTAATATTTCTTTTTTTTTTTAGACTGATATTTCATTTCAGTATGCTTTACCGAAGAAGACCTAAATGTAATACGTTCAAGAAGATGTTTATAGACACATGAATAGACATAGATGTTCAAGATGACATATAGATACTTATATTTAAACTGACGCTTACTTTGGACCAAGTTATTTCCTTTGTCGAATGTTAGTGTATTGCACAAGCAATTTGTTACTGAATTCTTCATATTATGACTATTTAAGTTCGAGAATTATATCAAGTTCTACTGTTTCTAAACTGTGCCGAAAGTTTAAGAATCTTCTTTTAAATTATGCGTGAGATTAAAACGATTAAGAACCACTGACTTAAAACAACGAATGTCGTACCGAACATCGTGACTCTTCACGACTCCCAAAACGACTTACCATGGTTTCTTACAATTTAATTAGGTACGCTTAGCGTCATATCACGCATTCTGAGAGATACATATTTACACGCAACCTTAATCTGTCACCAAGAAGCATACAGGCCATATATTAACAGGGGACAAAGTCTTTAGGAACTACTACCACCGTTAATGGGAAAACAAGTCACCCAAGTGCCGCACATGCGGAAGGCAGATGCGCAAAAGACTATTTGTCGTTGCAAGCTACTCAATGACGATGCCTGTGATGAGGTTCTTTTATGTATTTTCGTGTAGTATGACTACGCATCGTGTAGTAGTGGTAGTAAATGTCTTTTGCCCATTTACCTTGCGCATTTGAAACATTTGAGTTCCTCATTTCTTAGTTGACGGAACTAGTACCTCCAGAGAGCTTCTTTAAATCCCTGTATGATCCATATTACCGACTTTCTACTTTGTAGAGTGAGTAATATTTGAGAAATCGAATAGGCGAACGTATTAAACATTTTCAGAGCTAATTTTGAGTTTTGAGATCTATTAATTATAAAACAAAATAATAATTGAATTCGAAAACCATCAAATAAGAAATTCTTGATCATCTTTTCTATGTTGGAGCTTGAAGATCAAGCGTCATACTACATTTGTTCTTGAATTCATACCTACTTCTATAGCGTTTAAACCATTATGCGTGCGAAAATCGATAGTATGCATCTAGCCTTACGAGGGAACTTATCCAATTGTCACACGCCGATTTGATTTCAAAAATAAATTATTCAAATAAATAAATAAATAAATAAACAATTTCTTTTGGCACGAGTAAATTATCCATTCAAAAATGCATCGTTTTGAAAAAAAAATTTTGTCCTAGCTCCTCTACTTTTCAAGATATTTAAAAAAACATTGTATTCACCCGCAACTTTAGGAGCTGTTTTCACCCCTTCGATATGAACGATTGCCGATAAAAAAAATACGTGTCAAATATTTTTTTTTAAGAACTACCTACCACATCAATTTTATCAAAATCGGTGTGTGACAATTGGATATGTTCCCTTGTTAGATCAGAAATGTCCACGGCTAAGCCGGTTGAGATTTAAATTACGACGACTTTACCATACCACTTAGTGGAGTGGTAGAGTCCGCTGACACATACGAATGCACGAGTCTGTCTATACGTGTCTCGCATATTAGTATACTGTTATGGTCCACTACTCTATTAGGTAGTATAGTGAATTCGTCGTAATTCAAATTTCAATGACCTTAATTTGGACATCTCATCATTAGATCTTTCAGAACTAATATTTCTCACGGTGTGTTGACAACCGTAAGGTGTTACTTTCACTTGTATTGAGTGGCACGACAAGACATTTATACTAATAACCGTGTAAAAGGTTGAGATACATATATGTACAGCATTAGCTTAGGTCTTCGTCATACGAAACGGATAGTGTGCAATTTTATATACATATAAATATCCATATAATCGATTTTTTAAAATAAACCTCAGGGTATGTGCAGAGTGGTCCAGTCACTTAAATATCTTCGAAAATATATTCAGACATTTTTTCAACGAAACTTGCACGATTCACGGGGGGTTGTTATCATTACGATAATTATATTTCTGCACGTTAAACGTTCCAATATTATCTTTACTTCTTTAAATGGGATGGTGTTATTATCATTATAGGATTTATACAATGAAGGCTTTCAAACCTTCAAATTTATTGGATGTTTTGGTTGCTCAAGGCCTTTCACCAGTCTACAAATGACATCAGGAACGTCAGTGGCATCTGCTCTCTTATTGTACGACTACGTTTCTTTGTCTTTAAGAGATTAACAAGGAGAATTTCGATCTACTTCTGCAGAGTGATAGAATACATGTCCTTGTTCCTATATTTCAACCACTAAGTGTAGATACCCGATCACTTAACAAATATTAGTGTCTATCATTAGACTTAGCAATTCAACCGAATATTTGATTTTATTTATATCGATTTCTGTTTATTCATTTATTTATATTATTTAAGGAGGGCAAGTCAAGTCCTTTTTTTGTAATAGTGTATGCGTATTTGTATGACGATACAATAAATGGAGCAACAGATATATCTGTAGGCAATTCACGATGGCTTTGAGCGGCTGAAACAATCGGTGTTTACCATACTTATTTCTGAATCGTGCAATTTTCGATTAGTTTTTCCTTAATACTTACGCTTTTCGAGATAATTAAGTGGCTTGTGTTACTACTCAGACCGACCTGCATATTGTTCTCATCGAAGATGAAACTAGGCGGAAGTAGATCAATAGATTAAAGTAAAATGCAAAACTTGAGGTAGGAGACCCGATGTTGTCGCGCGAGGGTCTTGAGCGAATATTCTAAATTGGCACCTCTAAACAATTGTTTAAATCAACAAGGCCAACTAGAATTACGATAAATGTAAATTTATCAAAGTATTCAGGTCGCATCCATTCGCGTAGAAAAATTAAAAATAGCATACCTTCGATTACAGTCTACTGAAAAGCCTTTTAATAATCTTGTACGTGACATTAAAAAAATATGTTTTATTTTCAAAGGTCATTTAAGTTTATCAACGAATCACCCTCGATGAAACTGTTTACGACGCGACGATTGCTTGAAGATTATGGCCACGAACTCCGGACCGATTTTTGTGTCTCATTCTCACACGAAATGAAGACAAAAGTTCACTTAAACTTATTCGATTAACTGTTCGTGTACGTTTGATATCCTGTTCTTGATCACAGAAATGATATGTCTATTAAATTAAACGCTCGACAATAACCGCATTCTTTAAACAGCACCGTCTCAGCACCAAACACGTTCTCAAATTATTTACAAAAATTGGAGAGGAGAACTTATGGAAATGTTCGATTACCAGAATTCCCAGAACGTGGAAACACAGGTATGATAAGACATCGATCACGTACTCAAACACAACGTAAAGAGAAATATCAACTTGGTCCTCACTTGATGCTGTGTACAGTGTACACAGTTCTCTAGGTACTAGGACAGTAAACGCGAGTCGCACTCCAGGCACTGAAGTTCACTGCTCTCGTCATGATTAAAATGTACTATGGAAGCGGCCAGGGTAAACCGGAAAAGTCCACGGGGCCACCTAAGCCTGCGTCGGCCTCTAGAAGGCTCATTATCACGGCCATCGCTGCCTCGTCGTTGCCATCCGACGGAACCGGGTTTGGTGATTCGTTTATCGTCGTACCACCGATCATATCCATCATGTCTTCATCAGGTGACGTTCCTACAAGGAGGGGCATTTTTATGTTATGGGCAACAGTCATCAATGTCTTGGCGTATTACGGTTATCAATGTCTTAAACGATATTGCTCTACCAAACGAATAATCGTATTACGGGCTTGATTGCTGGATGTTCGAACTTTTGATAATCCAAGCTATTGTGGTTCAACATTGAAAATATCCTGTATCAGTTTGTTGCTTCTGCGAGGAGATCAAAATTCAATAATAGATAGCAAACTGCGAAGGAATGCATATACCGTTAAATTTAATACACGTATTTCTTTTCTTCGATATGATTCGATATCTTTTTTTTTTATATTTAGTACGAACTTCCTTCGCCCAACTTCGCTCAAAGAAAAACAGCAATTCGCAATCGCGAAGACAATCGATCAAGATTTTCTTGATCTTGTTTTCTCTGAGCGGGCTAATCTTTCTTTGGTAAATCCGGCAATCACACTACACACCAAGAAAACGACTCCTTAGAGACAGTAATAGCTATGACCTTGGTCGTTCGCGATGCTGTTCAGCTGCAAGTTGTTTGCAATGTGGTTGTACGTTGGTGTAGGATTGCTGCTACTGTTGCTGCTACCTCTCGCCGATTGCGACACATCCTGCACTCTTTCTGGCGATGCGGTTGTGGTAATCTGGGACTAACAAGAACGAAGTTTCTTGCAAAATTTTGCGACATGAGCAATCTTAGACAATTCTATCGAAATATCGAGTTTCTATTTTCTAAATTAACCCTTTGCGGTCTGTCGCTCACTCGTCTTTCAGGTAGACTGATTTATTTTAAAGTGAAATCAACTCGTGAAATTGAATGTGTTCAATCAGGCGTATAAATGTATCAGTGATTCGTCGTTCGTTTCATTACTGGAGCAAACAAAATAAAGGAACATTTTGTCCAGTTCAAAATTCGGTTCAGGATGCCACAAAAGTAGTATATTTTTATTTATACAGTGGGTGTAGAATGTATTCGTACACCGATCAATTTTCCAAAAAACTTTTGTGTGAAATTGTAGTTTCTTAACATCTTTTTTTGTAATCAATGGTATTTTACATATTCTCGAAAGTCTCTAAGATACAGTGTGGATATAGTCCAAACAATATTTACTAGTTAATATAATTTGTGAAATTAACAAAAAAAATGGGAAAACTGGTAAAAGTATAGAAGCAATAAATATTTGTACGATTTTTATGACGATTAAACACATTAGTTTATTGCTCCTTGCGAATTAGAAAACACCAAATTTCCAGTAAAGTACTTTTAAAAATGGCTCTAATAGAGGAATCGAAGAAGATCCCACTTCGAATAACTAATAATTTAGTTAATTTAATGCTTAGAAGAGTTGCAATAATTATAAAATCAAAAGGAAATCCCACGAAGGAAGTATTATATACTTGTAAATTAATGTAAATTTCTTTTTTTTTTTAATGAAGTTTTAAAACTTAAACAGTTGTGCGAATACTTATTTCTTCAATATTTCTATCGATTAATTGTTTTTTGTGTGTGTTAATTTCGTAACTTACATAAATAGCTATTTTGTTTGTACTCTATCTATCTATTCTAGAGATTTTCGAGAATATGTAGAATGTCATTGTTTATAAAAAATAAGTTAATAAATTACGATTTTACATAATTATTTTTGGAAATTGATCGGTGTACGAATACTTTCTACACCCACTGTATATGTAACAGTCACTTTGAGTATGATCAAGGATCAGGGTGCCTTTAAAGGGATGAAATGCTTTCAATTATATCTCAATGACAGTAGCAGACCATGGTATTTTCGCAGTAAACATAAAAGAGAATTTATTGTCACAGTAAATCGTATTAGGTCTGGGCATCATAATCTTGCTGGCTCTCTTGCCCGCATTAAGATAATAAGCGACCCTAAATGTAAATGCAGCTATGAAATCGAAGACATCAATCATGTGATTTGGCAATGCAGGCTCTACGATAGTTCAAGGACCAAGCTAATTAAGAAGCTCCAAAAAATGAAACTGTCTCCCACTTAATGTTGAATCGCTTGTTGCGAAACCTAATATTGCAGCTTGTCTATGTATTTTTGATTTCTTAAAAGAATGTAAACTGTGGATATAATGTACACGTAAACTGTATTATACATACTACTGTATATATGAACCTTATCTGAGGTTTTTAAATAATAAAAAAAAAAAAGAAAGTATTTCGTATCATATTAGATGGGTATGCGTAGACTTGTGTAGCTGTGGGTAACTGTTCACTCTACCTCCATCAGCATCTTTCTCGATAAAGTTTGCAATGTCGACTAAACGTTGAGACACTTTGTTTGGGTATTCGATGTTTGGATTGGCTGGAAAGTTCCAGCAAAGAAAACTCTTAACTCATACTCTTATGTCTTCACCAAGAAATTGACGACGGTTAAGAGCATTAGGATAAAATAAAAGGTGTGCGATACAGGAATGTGTAGATGTAGCCACAAATAAATTAATTTGTAGCGATATGGATAAATTTGACCATGAGATGTTACCTTGCGACGAACATAGCTTCAGAAATTGATAATAACCTAGCATTCGACTGTTAATAATTTTTACTACATTTAGTTAAAATTGATGTACAATTAAAGTGCTTAGAGTTAGACGAAGTTGAATATAGGTTGACGAATTTCACCTTTTTGACCATTTCTGTGCGAGTAGAAAAATGTTTATCTGTTTATTTCTGTTTTATTAAATGATACTTTGAGTTACTTTTTTAATGACGTTTTCTCAAGAGAAAATAAACTCAATTGTATAAACCTCTTTGACAGCCACCAAATTAAGCCGCTTGTATAAAAATATTGAACAGAATTGGTCTCTTTAGTTTAGAATTCAATTAAAACCTTCTAAATTTATGCAGCCTGTTCCTCTTCAATGGGTATCGATGAGAGCACCTGAAATTTGGTTTGAAACTTTTACTTTAAGATGATAATTTCATATTATAAATATTCTTTGACCGCAAAAGGTTAACATAAGAGGCGTTAATAGAAGTGTACCAATGAAATTAAATTGTAATTTTCCCCTTGTCTGAAGCGAATGTTTCTATCGGAAGAATTTGGAGTGTATAAATTCGATTGAGACGCAGGTGAGTTGGAATGGGTTCGTAGGGTATCTACCTCGGTATTTAACAAAGTAGGTTCTGGTCCTGGCACAGGACTGCTACCGGAAGAAGAATCCTCTCCGCGTCTTTGAAGGTCCAGAACCTCTTCCGCTATTTGTCGTCCGATTTTACTTACCTCTACGTGGCTTGAGATCAATCTTTCTAATCCACCGTTACCTACAGAGAAAATTATAAACAATTAGTCGATTACTATTTTCTAACACGAATAGTATTCTTGTGAGAATACAACTCCAATCTGCACTCTAAGGACTGAAAATTTTCACAATAATTTTTTCTAATATAATTTGAGATTGCACTTTATTAAAGGACAGTGTTAGGCTTGTAAGAAACACTGGGTTGGAGAAATAAGTAGCGATACTTTTAACTTGATAACCAGGCGAGAACATTCCTAAAAGTGAACTTAATATTTGTAATTTCGATATTTGTTTACAAATGAAAATTAAAAAATCGGAGTCACCAAGAATGCATATCTGTTTTTTTTATACATTGAATCCTTTTGTCATTCTACTATCTATTGAAGAAAATCCTCAAATGCTTTATTGATTACATTCTGTACATTTTATTCAACGCTTTTTAATTGTTTACATTATTTAATTAAGGTGACCTCTGATATGAGATATATTCAAGTTCTATACATTTTATAGATCACTAAAGGGACGGATAGGAATGCACATGCACCATTGCATTTATAAAAAAATGTGGTCGTGCAAATATACAGGGTGTCCAAAAAATGTTGTAACACCTTGAAATGGGTGGTTCGGAAGGTGATTTGAAACAACTTTTTCCTTAGCGAAAATGTTGTCCGAGGCTTCGTTAAGGAGATATTAAAGGAAAACACTGACCAATCAGAGCGCGCGTATACTGTTGAAGCGGCCGCGGTAGCGAGGGCTACGTGCTGAGCGGCCGCGTCCAATGTCCTTCGATACGCGTCGAGTCACTTGTTCGCGTACGAGCACGGCCGCTTAGCACATAGCCTTCGCTACCGCGGCCGCTCCAACGGTATACGCGCGCTCTGATTGGTCAGTATTTTCCGTTAATATCTCCTCAACGAAGCCTCGGACAACATTTTCGCTAAGGAAAAAGTTGTTTCAAATCACCCCCCGAATCACCTCTTTCAAGATGTTACAACATTTTTGGGACACCCTGTATATGTATAGTACTCCGTAAATCATTCATCTTCTTCTTTTGACATTTTTCTCTAACAGGATTAATAATGTAGTTACAACTTGCTACATTCACTAGGTCCACCTTGTATTTGAGCAAATAATTTTCACAATAATACTTCTAGGAATTTTCCACGACTTTTTTTCGACAGGTATAAATATTAGGAATTTTGAGTTTTTTTTTTGTAAAGGTGTTTCCACTTGACTACCAGATTAAATACGTACTTAGATCCAAAACATTTTACAAGGATTAACGTTCTTTACGTTGGAGATATATTTAATATATTTTACTCTTACTTTGCGTGAAATAGTCGTAGTTGCCCTGAACGCTGGAATCCTCAGATCTATTTCCGCTATTTGTGGTCGAACGAGGGTCACAGCTGCACACAGATCAGTTTCATTCATAAAAGCGCTTACATACGTTCCATCTTACTAGAACATCGTACAAAATATCGTTGATACTTACGAAGTAACAGAATTTTTAGCTATTAGGTACTCGATATCTTTGGTCCACGGATTTCTGAACGATTTCCATTCGGATTGAAGGTTCACGAAGCTGGAACCCTTGGTTCTAAACCTGTATATCTGAAGAAATCCATCCGATTTCGTTACGAACATTTGCAATTAATAGTTATAATAATATTTGATAAAACTTTACCATAAGAAATTATTTTTGGTCGTGTACGTCGAAATACATTACGTGAATATTATTAAACAGAAATATCAAGTAACGTAACTGCCTGCTCTTTCAAAAAGTGATATGAATATACATGTACGTAGTCAATTATAAGTGTGTATGCAGCAATATTAGTATTCATTTATTGAATATATGCGTTGCAAAAAATGTAGTATTCAAAATAAAATTTGTGCAGTTATAAATCATAATAATTTTAAAACTTAAAGCTAGGAAATATTATTGAATGGGATTAATTAAAACGAAAAGAAAAGATCATAGAAGATTATATTCTGCGGAGAAAGAAAGAACTAAATTCTACTTATTCGTAGTACCATATTCTCTGTAACCCAGAATTGTTCTCCATACTCCCTTCAATACACATACACATGTACTTTAATTTTCTCTAGTTTCTACAATTGTCATTTTAATTAAATTTCTACAACATTTTACGTTTTTCTTTTAGTTTTATAATTATTATAATTTATATCGCTACAAATTTATTTTACATTCTATTTTCTTGTACCTGAAGAGGGTCAAAATTTAGGCCAATGTAATGCATTGAAATAAATGAATAATTGGCGTGAGTGTCTATACACTCTTATTACTAATTACACGTAAATTTAAATTACTAAACATAGTCAAGGTTCACGAGTTTGAGATCTTCGTCAGAAGAAGCAAAAGTGAATATTCAGCTTCGAGTGAACAGTATATTTGCCGAACACGTCAATTGTGTCTGTGATGCGTTGGAAATTCCAAACAACGATCACAATCATTGCGTAATATTCGACATAAGAGATACAGTTCTACGTTGTGAATCGGAAAATCTAATCGCTGTCAACCAGAAACAATACATAAATAAACTTTTCCTTCGTGAAGTTCGCTATTTCAAAACAAGTACAAAAATATATCATTTTACTTAAACAAAGTTAATGACTATTAAAGAGTCTTCATATTTTAATTTAGATATTAAAAAAAGCCACCATTCTATGATTCTTTGAATATTCAATTTACCTGCGTGGTGACGCATTCAGTGGCCTGAAGAGCAGCTTTGTGAGATTCCGCGAGATGAGGTATATCATCGTGATGATAGTACTCGTACATGCTCGTACCGAGGAGCTCTTGCGGTAGAAAACCTAATACTAAGGTAGCCCTGAAAATATTTATCACTGTCAATAACTTTATGAGTAATGACTGTAACAGTACATTCTTAACGCAACTCTTCGATATCTCGAAACATTAATGATTGAACAGAAAGAGAATGGAATAATAGAATATTCATTGGGAAGGTAGTCTACTTGTACGAAATTATTAAAATTTATTTTCGTCTTGGGACTAGTTTGATATGTTTGTTGCAATTTCAGTTAAACGTAAATAAGAGATATACAAAAAAATAAAATTTGAAATAATATACACGAAAATGAAGTTGAGGCATTTCTTGTAATTTCATTCTTGTGTATACTATTTGAAATTTGTCCTTTTTCTTCTTATTTCACTTCTCAATTTATAGTAACTTATAGTAAGAAATTTATAGTAACTCATCCTAAGACTAAAATGAGTTCGTATCGCGCTATGAACACCCTATTCAATTTTTACGCGAGATAAAATACATAATTACAATATATCACTGAACAATTCACGAAAATGGAACTACCACGAGATATAAAAGAATTATTATAGTATCATTTATAATTTACATAATTTCACTGTCTAAACTATTAGATGTCTCGAGAAATAAAATTAATCGATTAGATGAGCCTCCAATTATTTAATGCCAAAGTTGTTGACAAAATATTACCTTTGATCAACGAATAGGAATTTCCCATCCATTGCGTGTCGCGAAATAAATTTTATAGGCCTTAATCGTGGCTTCTTAGGCAAGGACGCAGGTATTGTGGACTGCAAACGACCGACTGCTACCAAACAGGATAAATTGCAAGCATCCCCATCCCCGTCACCTTCCTGTTCCTCGAGGTCGATTTTTGCTGGTGCCCAAGATTTTAGGTAACCAGTGCACTGAATCACACAGTACTTCCAATCTGTGAAAATACGCGTTGAAATTGATTTTTATTACACAGTAAAGTACAACGCTATTCCATTCGATTTAGTTATTATAAATGAAAGGAACCAATGCATAGGTTGTACAATATTTTTGGATGAGCCGGACTTTTTTTTTAATTCACTTTTTACTCATTCATACTGATGAAATATAAAGTAAATTTACAGAGACAGACTAGACAACAGATAGAAGTATTACAAATTATTTATTCTTTTTTAGTTATTAGGGGTGGTAAGGGGATTATTTCTTTTACTTTATGAAATATTCTATAACTCATTGCAATCTTTTATGTAATATAAATATATATATTGATTTATGTTCAGGAAATTAGCATTTGTCATACTATTTTATGTAGAATGACATATATTATTATTATTAATATTATTATGTATAATAATATACATAAATGTTTTCTGAAAAGCTTCGTCATTGAACGTCAAGATTTCAAGATTTCAAAAGTTTGAATTATTTTTCGTACTTCCAATCTACAAACTAAATATTATACATAAAATCACCATACTATCATTTTCTATTATTTATATATTTGGAATTAGAATATTATTTACATTTGTTATGTATCATTTTCCATTGATATAAAAATTTGCCTAACATTGGAAAGAAGTGTACGATTAGAAATAGAAATGTAGAAAAAGAATGTACAAGAAGAAAGGTATTTAAAGGGATCCTTTCACCGGTCACCGAAATGGTGTCCACTTTTCACCTTTGACGAGTCGCGCGGCAAATATTCGTATCGAGATATTTCAGGAATGAGGAAAAGGAGTCAGAGATGCTATAAGTCCTTTACTGATGCATGTTTAATACGCCCTCGTAGCGTTGCATATTTTTAAAATTGTTATAAATGTTTTCCTGAATGATAAAAGGTTATATATTTCATAATCAGGGTTTCACAAATTATTTTTGTTTATAGATTTATTTATGTTTGAAAACAGTTATCACTTTAAATCCAAACGTCATGGAAAAATAAATACTTCTTTATTTATTTTAACTACAAAAAATATCAGCTTTTTATTCTACAAACATTTCATGACTCTTCTTACAAAATTAAACTCGTATTTTTTAGAATATTGCAATTTATCTACTTTATGCATTTAAATTTACGTCTGACAAGAAGTTAAAGCAAGGTTTGTATAAAAATTTCTTCGAAATCTTTGACAATTAAATGACGAATATTGTTAAGAGATTATTTTCCGTTAAGATAATTTTAAGATATTATGAAAACATTCATCGTTATGAAAAGAACAATATATTTCCAGTCTTATCTACCTGGTTCGTGGACAAAAAAAAACTCCAGTTATTGTTACGACCGGATAATGGGCTCTCTTTTCATCGAAAATACGGAATCAACTTCCGGGAAAACGCAACGAAACGACTGTAATCCGCGAATGTCTAGGCAAACATTTATTGCCACTCGTTAATTTGTTTTATAATAAGTTACGTAAAGTATCCTTTTCCAGCTGTTACAAATTTTTCCACTTGTACTCAGGACTATCAAAGCCTCGCGTTGAAAAGATACGTTGTCTTATTTGATCATAAAGGATAACAGTTTGTAAGCAAAAATTATTCAATCCAACTTTTCGGTCTTGGTTTTAACTTCTTTTCTGATTATATTATCTCAAAAGATTCCATCTTTTGTATTTTAAGATTTTTTGGATGTCTTTATGACATTTAATATTTGTCATTCACAGAGCTTGTCGGTTTTATATCATAATAAATATTCAGACAGAAAATTGGTATATGCCTGTTCATATAACAATTTTAAAAATATAACACATGACTATTCCTTTATTTTCCTAATAACTAAATTAATCAAATTAGTTGCACTTCCTTTCATTCTAATTTTGTCATTAATTATTGTTTCTTTTCGATTCCTATTGTTTATTTAACTCCTATATATTCACCTAACTCCACATTTTCGTTTAATTTCTAGAATAACAATTTTGTTCTGTAAAACTAAAAGTGTGTTTCAAAAACCAGAAACCTTAACGTAACTTTAGGCATTAACAACATTTAATACTGAAAATTATTCTTTGCAACTATTTATGTTTATATAATCTTTGCTCTAACTGATCTATAATTCTTATTGAATTTGCCGAAGGCAATTCTTTGAAGCAGACGAATATTTATTTGATTTGTAATTAATGCAAAACTGCTTACCGACGTTTTGTTGCTTTTTTCGTCGATGACAGCCGCTGGTAGTGTCAGCTTCCTCTTTTACTTGTAACTTGCCACAACGAACACTTTCCACTTTTCGTTTCATCCTACAAAAAAAAGACCTCCGAACACCTGGACAGAGTCTCGATACACCTTGTGGTACGTCCGTCTTCACTGGTAACATTGCTGCAACAATAAGAAACAAAAATACACTTCTTTTTAGTCAGTACAGTAACTTAGATTTCATGTCGCAACTGAAAAAGATGATAGAATTACTTTGTATCAAATTCACATCAGTGCCAATTCATAATTGTTTATAGCGAGTTTTTCAGAAGTAGCATTAGGATTTTATTTTCTAATAAAACATATATGGTATGGGATATATCAGATATTTTTATTTTAAATGAAAATGTACGTGATTATAATTAGAAATGATTATTCGAAAAGAGAATTTTGTTATTTAAAAGAGCTTTTGGGATTCTTTTTTTGAATAACAAAATTGAATTGTAATCTTGTATATTTTTATGTAAATATATGAATATTTGTAAGAACGTTTGGCTTAATTTATAAATCTCTACATATAACGTTTTTATTTTATGTATAAGATCTATCTTATTATCATTGCCTTCAAATTTGATATAAACGTAGGAAAATGTTTTTCCGTGCTGTTCAAATTACCAATAATAATATTGCTTTTTATTATTTACTGCAATCGAATTATACGTATCTTTTAAATCGTCATGTAACGCTGTGACATATTCGCTTTCTTGAATACTTGTATGTCTATCGAATCAACGCAATCTACACTGCCACATAATCCAGCAAAAGGAAAGTAATCGCATCTTACAATACTGACGCGACGTTATCAGTAACTGTGGGCGTGTTGATGGCATATGCAATCACTGTTATGGCCAATCCATAATCGTCGCTTTCCATAATGTTCAGCGAACATCGACGTTATATAATTAATCTTGATGCATTGTAAGTATTGTAACATGTGGCAAAGCAGCTAGTTCCCGGTATTCCGTTCCAATCGAAATGTCGTAACAATGATTATGTATTTCGCTTTGTTCCTCACGTGGGCATACCTAATTAACGTACTAATCTCTCTAATCTAACGAGTAAAACAACCTTTACTAAAATCGATATTAATGCCAGTTCGAAGTATCTTCGCTGCATTGTATATTTTTATTTTCACATTTACTGTCTAAGAACTTCTCCAAAAACAAATTCAAGTTTAATATTTTGTAGAATATTTGTTACTATTTTCTACTATTCCAACAACTTTCTTAATACATTATACTCAATTTTCAATTAGTTTACTGAACATGTGTGTGCATGATATAATGTATAACATACAATATACAACATAATATATTATATACTACATATAACATATAATATATAATATATATTATATAATGACCATAATATATAATACAATAATAAAAATTTTCAAAATAAAAAAATACCCTCTTAATTTTCGTGTTTAATCAGTATAAAATGACAGCTTGTGATATAAACAGTTATAACTTTGGCAATATACGATTTTGTAAAATAAGAGGTGGAAATATTGAAAGAACTTTAAACAACAAGGATATTAAGAAATAAAACTTATATTTTAATTCAGAAAAAAATATCTTAATATTCTACAAATCCTAACAAATAATCTAACTTCAAGCTGTTTCCAGTGAAAGGAGATGACTAGTTGGTCTTCATGTGCATTGAACCTGACAACTGCCGATACTTGTCATGACTGTTGCTGTTGTAGAAAGGTTGTGACGTTTCCATAAATAAGCTTTCAGAACTATCGATGGATGATCCTCGAGAATTTGAAAGGAAGAATCGATGACTATTAACATCGCAGCAACAAGTGTCAACAGTAGGATATCGAGGACCTCTAGAACTCTAAGATTCTTCGTAAGATGTACGTACACTCGCGCTCATAAGTATGTAGACACTTCTCCAATTAGAAGAAGGTGTAGATATACATAGATGTAGAAATTAATTCTGTACTTCTATATTCAATTATTTGTAACTCTAGTTATCTCTGTAAGTTTCAACCTCATGGTTATTGCAACGCATCTATATGAACTTTCGTAGTAATAAAGGATATTCAAATTTTGCTTTTTGTTATTCTTCTACAATCAAAAAAAGAGTAATAATAATAAGCAAAAATTTATGGCTACCAATCATCGTGTATACATATATATATATATTTATATATATACATACATTGTAATGGTCATCAGGTTAGAACTTAGATTATATAATATATTATAGATTCATTATAATCCAAATCAGGTGGAGAACCTAGAAGGTCGGTGACTTAACATGTAATAACAAAATGACGATTAAATATTTCTATTTAAACTAAAGTTACAAATGATTGAATATTGACACCTGATTCAAAAAGTTACGAATTTATTAACGAATATGACTAAAAATCAAACTAAAATAAAATTTTAATTAAAAATTTAAAAATCAACTAAAAATCATGGCTCTAGACAGGAATCCTTCCTTAAAATGCCACTCAAAACTTTAATAATTTACGATTTAATATTAATAAATATTACTAAATACACAACTAAAATAGAATTGAGCAACAGAAAATTTTACAATAATAATTTACAGCGTACGACATCAATTATTCATTGAAAGTAGCAAGTCTTCACATATTTATGAACGAGGGTGTATATCGATGCAAATATTCTAGGAATCCTGGCATTCGTACCGGTCATCTTAGCTTCTTTCCTCATTCAGACGAGTCTTTCGTAACGTCCTTATCGTACGGTGCTAATTCGAAGATATTTATCGACAGGCAGATGCTGCCGAACGACTGACATTTATCAGGGATAAACTGCATCGACAAATAATGCACGTCTGAATGGCCAACGGCAAGAACCAGCCGAGAGAATGTCGAAAGGTGTCATAATTAATGGATTCGTGTGTAGAAAGTCGACGAAGCCAATCGACAAAAATGATCTCCCCGTAAGACCAGAGTTACGGTATTTGAAATGCAGCAATAGTATTCTGTGTTCTGCTTGTATAAATCACGAAAAGAATGCTTCCAGTTAACATTACTGAAATTTGCGATTATATTATCAGACAATAATTGAAGTTGATTGGTAACGGGAGGTCGTAAGTTTAGAATTAAATTCTGAGAATTCGTTTAATGTTCTAATTAAGACGTATGGAATCTGATAAGTAATATATGCTTGTTAGAGATATGGTACTGTGCACTTAGAATTTTGATTTCAAATCTCTGTTCTCAAATTTTAGATTTTAGATTTTAGATTTTAGATTTTAGATTTTAGATTTTAGATTTTAGATTTTAGATTTTAGATTTTAGATTTTAGATTTTAGATTTTAGATTTTAGATTTTAGATTTTAGAAAATAAATGAGAAGCATAGAATTAAGTCTTTTGTACGACGTATTGTTTTAAACAAAAATAAGGCTTTCAATTTCATTAAGATCGAGTGCACTTAATTTTTCAATTAACGAATTTATAAATTAACAATTCAATTCATGTTGTTAGTAACAATATGAAACAGTTAGTTCTTTTGAGATTTAACATTTACATGTGTCAACTTTATAATGATTGACAATATTCTCGCTTGTATAGTATTCAGTAGATCAAGAGATGCATGATCAGACATCACGGAGGTCTGACTTTTCATTTGTTTTGGAAGGCGTGTTTGATTTTTTTGACTTTCATTTAATTATAAGTAATTTGCACTATCATTACGTTACTAACATAGTTAATGAAACAAGAAATGCAAGTCACGATCTTGTCAGTGTCAAAGGACACAAACACGAACAGACAAAAAAGATTAACAATCATCTACCACTTTCGCTTTTTATCTTCATTGTTACAATTAATATTATATTTGTCGTTTATGTTTCTCTGAAATATTTAATTACTAAATACAAATAAGTTTAAATTGAACACTTTTTATCGTAACAAAAATACAATGCAATTTATTATATATTTAATGGATTATATCCATTAATAAATTGATTTGATTTATTTTACAGTTTAGAAAATATTTATTATCAACGCCCCTATTATAGGGAATCAAACGAATATATTGAAATTAGATTTAGAGAATTAGCTAAAAAAGTGGAAGAACAAAGACTAACCATGTTACTAAGGCAATTGTTTTCGACAGAATTTGTTTCATTGATATCTGTAAATGATCATCTTGTATAATAATGAATGTATTATTAGTAGATTGCGGATTTTTATGCATTTATAGGAAATTTTAATATGCAAGAAACTATAAAATGTACACAGTATGCAATAATATAAACAAATATTAAAGGTATAGTTTATATTATAATATTTGCAGAGTAAACTGAATTCCTATTTAGGTTCAATTTTTATAGATACGTTAGCAAAGATTTTATTTTGCGTAAATATCCGCAGTCCAATTATTAGGAATTGATTCTAGTGAAACAGTAGTACATACTTTTGGCGTCTATTAAACGTTCACGTGGACTGAGATCCGAAGAAGATAACTGTTCCTTCACCTTGGCAACATCTTTAGGGTGCAGGATATCGAACCAACTTTGACCCAACAGGTCGCCCTGCGCAAAAATAAAGTTCATCCAAATAAAGCCTTTCTAGGTTCTCATCGTCGTCTTGTTCAAGTGCTTTGCAATAACAAAACGATTAATGTTTGCTCCTTTCATTTTATTGCAAGCAATTATGTAAATGCGATAGGCACATTTCATTTCTATCTTAAACTTAACCTCCACTGACATTCATTTTATTGCTCGTATTTTATCAAGTCATTTTTTAAGTCTGCGCACATTTAACTATGTGAACTATTGGTTTTATAGGCATATGCGAACGTATTGCTATTATATAAATTGATACAGCATGAATTTTTGAAAATAAAATGTATAAAACTGACGACAATTGGATATATAGAACATTAGGTTGGAAGTGAAATTTTATTTATATTTCAGTATTGTCAATAAGTGATAATGGGTTAGTAAAATATGTAAATAAACATATTTTATATGAACTTACATAGATTTCCTCTAATTTCTGTATTACTATTATTTAACTCGATATATCAATCTTGTTAAATGAATTGTATTGTAGATTTTCATCTTCTTTTATAATATAAATAAAATATATTAAAATTGCACGAAATAGTGCGGTAGATGTAAAATATGAGTGTCAATATATTTTGTTAATGAACAACATTTGAGTGATTAAAAAATCGTTTTCTTGAAAAGTTTGAATTTAGTTTTCGTCCAGTATTCAAATATTGACCACTCACTTTATTCACAGAAAATAATCATACAGGAATTTCGTTGCTACATGGATGATTAATATTCAGTATACTTGCTATACTTCGGTATAATTCAATTTACTCGAACAAAAGTACGTAGACTTATGAAATGACCTGATACTGGTCAGTGACCAGTAGAAAACAGAGAGTGGTTACCTGAGAATAGTTGAGTGTCTGCAAAACAGACTCGGAAACGTAAAGAATTCTTCCGCGATCACAGCCCACCACGAAGACAAAACCCTCCGCGGCCTGAAACAGAAGAAATAGCCTTTGATTACGTCATCTAGATCAAATGTTTATTGCAATTCTGTGAGAAGGGCGTCGGGGAAATGAAATCGTCACTGATGACGGTACAACTGTATACATTTTGTACACCTTGGAATACACGGTCTGTCTAAAAAGAAACCGAACTTTTGCTAAAAAAAGAAAAAAGTACAAGTAAAGTTTTTACACACACGTTTATTTACTCAAAATAATCTCCCTCTGCGTCAAACCCAAAATTGAAAATTCCAATGAAAAGGGCAGCACATTATGGCAATATTTCGGAGATTCAGGCCGCTGTAACCGCCGTACTAAACGGGCTATCAAAACAGGAGCTGCAAAGGTCCTTCGAAATGTTAATTACGCGATCTTTTAGTTGTATTGACGCAGAGGGAGATTATTTTGAGTAAATAAACGTGTGTGTAAAAACTTTACTTGTACTTTTTTCTTTTTATAGCAAAAGTTCGGTTTCTTTTTAGACAGACCGTGTATACACAGTATAAACAATTGTCTTTCGATGGCTAAAAATTCAACAAATTGCTGTAAGAAGTTGTCCTCTAGTATTTAGAGGAGAATATTTTGTTTACAGGTATTAGAAGACAGGAATTCTTTTATTATTTATACAAATTTATTTTCATACCATGTGATTTTTATAGCTATGACGTTAAAACCCATTAAGTGCACTGGAATATATCTGTATATTTTTATAATAAAAAGTGGATACCCTCCACAAAATGGAGGGTAAATATCTTTATTCAAACTGAAGTTATAAACAACTGAATGTAAAAGCGCGATATCAATGTCTACACCTAATAATTGTCAAGTACTAGATTGTCTCAAAAGTTTCTTTCATTTTATTAATAAGTAATACATACACAATATTTTATGTCTAATGTTACATTATTTAATTGTGTACGATTCATTTTGTTCCATTACTGTTACAACATCAACATCTAAGAAATTAGATTGACTATTTGTATAAACACTACCGCACAAAATAATTGAGTGCAAATTACGAAAGAAACTTTTGGGACAATCTAATATGTCTACTCGCAATCTGTTAGAATATCAGCAATAAACAAAGTTAGCTATTGAACTTCATATAGCTAAATTGCAATGGTCATCTGGTTGACACTTAAGTCATGTATATAAATTCACTATAATGGATAAAATATCTTTACTTAATTACAGTTATAAATGATTGAACATAAAGGTTCAGAATTAATTTTTACACCTAATATCATCAGCCGTAGGCTAAGAGCAAGAGATCCATGTTATCCAGTAAGGAGTTTCTTCATTCCCACCCCTGTTCTCATCTTCGTAGACATTAGAAAGTACACGAGCACGATTTCAAGAACATTTGTCTCCCAATAGTAATAAAGGTAGTAAGTACCAATTATAAAACTGGTCCTCGAATGCCTGGGATAATCGTATTCCTTAGCGTGTAAATACCTGTGTGGATATCGAGGATATCGACTCGTCGAGTGGAGATCGCCTCGATCCGAACGTGAAATTCGATCGCATGTAAATCGCGCACTTGCGATGGCGAATTTACGGCTTTAAATACGTAGCAGCGTACTGACGTTAATGAATGTTGTATGCGACCGAAGATATATCGTTGCGGGCTTCGCAAACGTCGATTACGCAACCACAACGCACTTAGGCTAGCTGCTTTACCTAGCAAGAGATTGACGATACACATGCATACGATATTGACGCGCCGGTACTTCTGCTATCGTGATCGTTTGATAAAGATCCATGGACGCGAGGAATCAAACCTGACCGACCAATGATCGATACAGTAAGGAGCAACACTGAATCTGTCACGAAAATTTATCTGAAAAATATTTTTCATCGTTTGAATAATTTATACCGAGGGAAAAGTTTTATGACGTTTGGAGTGTGTTCTATTTTAAATTCAAATTAAAGGAATAGTTGAAATTCATCGAATTAGTTTTGTACCACAATCTTTTTGTACGTATAGTTAACGCTACTGTAACGCGATTGAATCGTACCATGTTAGGTGGAACTCGAAGTGAAATTAAGTACATACATATGTAGATCTCAGGCTAGTCAATCAGGCTGATGTGTTCTTTGTTACATAAATTGCATCTACAGAGCACCCTGTTATGATGAATACGGTTATCAAATATAATTTTGAAAATACAAAAGGCGTTAAGTATATGTTTATGTATTTCAAATTATTTTATTCAGTTCAAGATTTCTTGTAAGAACGTTATTAAAACAATGTAATTATACAATTTTAAAAGATTCTTTCATGGTATAAGAAATTGTTATTTGAAGTTTTTTTTGCACACTTCGTAGAATTAGTCTTGGAGATCCTCAAGAATAATTAGTTTTTCAATTCTGCTCCATTCAGAATGAATTAAATCGACACAAATAAAATTCAATTAATATTAGCAAGCCTCATAATTGAACTGCGGATTTTATGCATTTATGATGCAAGAAAATATGACAAATATATGCTAAATGTACTTCAAAGGTATATGAACATATGCAAGACGAAATATTAGTATCATTATATTAATTAATGGAATATATTCTGCATACAGTCAGTCCCATAAGTATCGAAGAAAGTGTAGATGATAAGTTTTGATTAAAATAAGTTTAATATAAGTTTTAATATAAGATATAAGTTTTGATTAAATGATAAGTTTGATGTTTCCAAATAAATGTTCGATTATAAATATATACACGAATAAACTTTACACATATATTTAAACATATATTTACATATATATTACACGTATATTTGTAATGAAACATTTATTTGCAAACATTATATCAACGTATATCAATTGTATATTATGTATAGTTTGTACATGTTTACTATATTAAAATATAAAATCCACAGTCTACTCATTATTGATTCCATTACATTTAGCCAACACATGATCAGGATAGACGTTGATGTCTTAAAATTCAATCCTGATAATATAAAAAATAAGTAGTATTCAAAAATATTAAGCAGACATAGAACGTTATAAACTATGTACAGGTAAGTTCAAAATGCAACAAAATGTTATGTTTGCTTGAAACATTGACCTTTACTAAAATTTAGATAAGTACATGAAATAATATTTGAACTTTTCTTAGACAACTTATTATTCTGATTACATCCACAGTAAAATGTGGCGATGAAATCGTCACGATCTAGAGCTGCGTGACAGTATCTGACAAATTATGATTCCATAGAGACATTTGCTCAGAAGATCATCCGAAGGTCAATATATTACACATGGCTAAATTTATCTTTTAATCAGCTCCAATATTACAGTAATGAAAATACATCATCTCATACGACATTATCGATCGGTCATCGATTAGTCTACGACTACTTGACAATTCAGTATTACATAATTAATCTAACAGATCATCGAAACGTTTCACAGCATCACATGGAAGGCACGATCTGCTAGTAAAGTTTTATCGATGAATCCAATACTCTATATGGCTATAAGAGGCCCTGAAAAAATTGAAATTGAGTCACTTCCTCCTTTTCGAAGTCGGTTAAAAAATTAATTGTATCGATTAAAGAAACCGATTCTGAAGTAGCGTTTTACATTGCAAAACATGATTTATTTCATGTTTGTATGATAACCACCTTGTAATAGAACATGGAGGAACGGATCGAATGATTAATGAACTAAACGATGAACAAAAATGTAATGTAGGGATTGATACAAAATTTTCTGGAAAACTGTGAAGCATACCAGAAAAAGAAGAGTGAAAAGAAGAAGTAGTAGTAAAAGTAATAGATTTTCAGCATTTAAATAGTTACTGTAAAGTGGATTTAGATGATTTCTAATTTTAATCAGATGGTCTTGCCTATTTATTTCGTACTTTATTTCGTACAAATACGTTATTTTACAGAATAATTAATTCAATATTAATCAGTTAATAGGAAATCCATAAAATAACTAGTTTAATTTGGCTAGTAAACTATTCTATGGTTTAACTACCTTAGATTGGTATTATATTGAATAACTAATTATTAAAATTAAATTAAATTTCAAAATAAATATTCTTAAAGTATGTATTCCATATGTTAAATAGGGAAATCTGAGCTACCTCCATGATACTGTCAATCGTGGTTGGCAATTGCAAATTGAGATATTCACCATCGAAGATAATAACACCAACACAAACGTAATTCAGCGTGAGGTGCTTGGCATGTGTCTTAATAGAAAGAATTTATTACTGCGTGTGCTATATAGCGATTTTTCTCAATAATTTTACGATTTACGACGACAACACCCATTGGAGCCTCAAGTATCCGCCTTTGCTGTATCGGAGTCTGTCATCGAGGATTAAAAGTTTGCAGGTATCATTCAATGTAGATGTTACCTTTAGATTCTCTACAATTCACAGTATTAGGTCATTTCATAAGACCATGCCACTTATTATTCTGCTATTCCAATTAATGTATGAAATATACCTTTAAGTGCTACTACTACGTTTTTAGAATATGTTCTCACCTATATTATTAAATATTACAGATTTTTCGGTAGGAATGAAAAAAGATTTGAAATTGCTTTTTATCTCATACAATTGATTTCATTTTACACTGACTAAAGAGTCCGAAACATTTAAAAATATGGCTGGTGGTATAATTATGCTTCGCAATCTATAGTTTTCAGTAGATTAATACATGCTTAATCAGACACCACTGTATTCCAAGCCATCGGTTGTTTTCAAAGGCCTATGCAATCCTTTCTCTCTAACCATGAACAATTTCCACTATTATTTTCCCTATCAGCATACGCAAAACCATAACTGAGACTTCAAATCCGAGTCACGGGATCTTAGCATGTCTCAAGAGGAGTTTATCATTGCATACGTCGTATAGTGATCTTTCCGCATCAATCTCGCGATTTACGACGACAACACCCATTGGAAAGTTTACAGTTATTATTCGTCGTACGATGGAATTGTTAATTTATCCGCGAGCCGGATACTGGGGTGCA